GGCTGTGAACACTGAGCAAAAAGTACGGCATCATAAGAGTCAGAGCAGCAGACACACCAAAATAAGCCAGGAAGCAGATGAGGAGGGAAGCCACAATTCCAAGTGGGATCGACTTCTGAGGGTTTTGAACCTCCTCTCCTAAAGAAAAATAATAATAATTTAATTTTATAGTAAGTCATTGTGTGATCTATTATGTCTGTGTAAATGAATTTACCTGTTGTTGCAATGCAGTCAAATCCAACAAATGCATAAAAGCAAGTGGCTGCTCCTGCTAATGTTCCCTCAAAGCCAAAAGGGAAAAATCCTCCACTGCCAAATCCAGTGGTTTCATTCAGTGATGTGTGGTTTCTGGAAAGAACAGACATGTTGATGCTTGGTCATTCAATAATGCAATAATTATTTATCCATATTATTAACAGTAAAAGCCTATTCTTTTTTCCTAAAATATATACGTAAAGAGGAACCCATACTCATATCCATCTAGGAGAGAATCTTCACTAATGTACCAGTTGTCGATGTCCCCCTTAATGACTCCGGCGAGGATTACAAACAGCAACACCAGGATGTTAACTGCTGTAAAAACCTTGTTAACAATCGCTGACTCTTTAACACCAAATGCAAGAATCCCTAGAAAGGGAACACAGAAAATATGAAGTTGATTGTGACTGTGAATACAATGCAACCTTGTAAAATGTTGATTTACATTGTGATTAACTATTCATTTTTTATTCATAAATTATAATAATAAATTTGGTAAGAGGTCACAGGGGTTTAGATAATGAAACTTGCCTGCCAAGAGCATTATGAGGCCAGCTGCAAAAAAATCTGGGTAGGGAGCTAATCCAGGTAAATCCATTGCAGCCTGTTTTCCCAGAGAGTTGGCAATGACATTTCCAATGAGATCATCGAAGGTCCCACTCCATGCTCTGGCAACACTTGACGTCCCTTAAAAACAGAATACAATGAGATACCAATCTATTTATATTTGAACCTCATTTGAAACAATATTATGATAATGTTTACGAGGACAGATGTTTTTTTCCAAGCTTAATCAAACACCCACCACATCGAGTAATGTATTCAGAGTGGCACTATCTTTACCTATGACATAAGACAGCAACAAGTTCCAGCCAGTGATAAAAGCCCATATCTCTCCCACAGTCACATAGCTGTAGAGATAAGCAGAGCCAGTCTTGGGAACCCGAGCTCCAAATTCAGCATAGCAAAGTCCAGCAAAGATTGAGGCCACTGCTGCTATCAGGAAGGCGATTATGATACTTGGCCCGGCCACAGTTCTGGCCACTTCTCCCGACAGCACATACACACCGGCCCCCAGTGTGCTGCCGACCCCCAGAGCCACCAGGTCGAGGGTGGTCAGGCATCGGCGAAAGTTGGACTCCTCTCCTTCGGGCTCCAGAGGTTTTCTACGGGACAGGCTCTGTAGGAACAGCAGGATCTTTGCACCAGACATCCTATTAATCAAGACATGTGTTGTTCATTGATTGCTCAAGACAAATAAAGATAAAAATTAATAAACATTTAAATTACATAATGCTAAAAGTACCACTGTTATTTGGCCAAAGGGCCATTTTCTCTAAAAAATTGAAGTACATTTCCAAATCAAATGCTCCCATTCAAAATACCAGACACAAATAAACTCATGTATAAATTCAATATGATCCTAATCTGCAGCATTTGTCTCATTACAGTCCATTTCATCACAATAGCTTTGCAGAAATCTCAAGTCCAAGTTTAGCTATTGATGCAAACAAATGTAGCAATAGTTTTAAAACTGTGAAAGTGTAAGAGACACACAGGTAAAAGTAATCACATTTTCACAACACCACCATGTAATTTTACTGTCTGTGCTGTAAAATTGGTGCAACGCAGGCAATCTTCACACACACACACGAACTCTTGTTATCCACACTAAATGGTAAAAGGCTACCTTTAGATATAAATATATATGTGGTATTCATTTACTTACACTGTAAAGATATAAAAACAGTTAAGAATAAGTATCAAGTATTACTCAGACGTAGTGATTATTGATGGTCATATGTCATCAGTGGGCCTGTGTTTATGAAACAGGGAGAAATAAAAGTAGGTAGAAGCTTCATTATTGTACATTTATTATTTTACTCTTTAGAGGATGTATCGATGATTCATTGCTGATTAAATAAAGAGTCAGGTAATAACATTTTATTTTAAAATTATGCATTAATTTATTAATTAATGAACTGAGGTCTCGCACATACACTCATTATTATAAAAGAGGCTTCCTTACCTTTTCAGCTGAATGCTGCAGTGTGTGTGACTGTGTTTTGATCTGTACCAGACCACACTATTTGTGAGGATAAATCCATTCGCTGTGAACTCTTCACAGCTCAACATTTTTGACACATTATGTTACATTTCAGACGTATGTGCCATTTCTGAAAAAGACAGGAACTAGATGATTTATTTGAGGACACGTCAGTCTTGTCAAACAATTATATACATTTTACAAAGATGTTTTTTTCATATGTGTGTGTAGATGATGAAGGTCTTTTTACACCAAATATTGCTTTCATGCCTCACCAATGTAAAACATCATGAAATTGTTGGTCCTCTATGACAGATGACGTCTGTATGAATTTTCAGAATAAATGAAATAAACAAACTCTGTTACTCTTTAAAAGAAAACACGCGCAAATCTTACCATCCCTACAAGTCATAACATATTGAGGTCTGTTTGTAATTTTCTTTATTTAAAGCCCCTACAAGGAGTTTTGTGAAACTGTCCTAATTTAATAGTGTAGTCTCTATGACCTTCATAAAAAACAAGACCATGAGTGAAAAGACCGTCTTTTTCCACGCAGTTATTCTTCAGGTTGGATTCCCATAAATCAGACAAAACAGACAATACAAGTTCCTTATAGAGCCTTTAATTAAACTCTTTAACTGATGGAAATTGAGACCACTTCCAGTGGTTAAGAAGTTAGAAACTATGAAATACATTTAGAGTACAGGCTTTTTATTTTTAACCTTTCAGGGTCTCCCATGTGCCTCATGTCTCATGGACACAGCGATGGGTCGTGTCACAGATAAGTCAACATGTTGTAAACTGAAATTGTTTTCACTGGAAACATCTGCTCAGCAACAAATTGAAGACTCAGTCATCAGAGCATAAGGAGGCAACTAATTGTTTGAGGTACATAATGGTGCAATCCATTGCTTCTAGGGGTTCCTGGTATCATGCTGCAGCTCTTCTGGCAAAATCCAATAAAAGATGAAACCTGACTGGAAAACATGCATACACAGGCAGCAAAAACAGCAGCAGATATGAGGATCACATTTTAATTTGTAGGTTTCAAGAGTAGAGAGAGAAATATGTTTACATTTTAGTTATTCATCAATAAGTAGTAGTGTAGTAATACAGACACAAACATCCAGTTAACTTGTAATACACACATTAATGAAGGCTGTAGACAAAGATAACCTTCACAACCTGCCTCCTTTATCTCATATTTTCACTGAAAGTAGGCGGTTGGCATTGTCTTTCCTGTCATGCTGTGGTAATGGTATAGCTACTAATTAAAATATCCTTCCCAGCTCTTTCTCTGCCACTTTAGTTCAGGAGGAGTGAACTGTGAGTAGACTTCATTAGCTGAAGGAAATGGACAACCCCTCTCTTTGTTAATGATTCATCTGCAAAAAGAGGTTCAGAAGCTAACGCCATCGTCCAGTGAATTCATTCAGCCCCCTGGATATTTTGGGAAAAGGCCTTAAAAACTGTGTATACCTGCAGATTAACTGTTTCTAGCGTATTTATATCAGGAGTTCAGTAGGAGTTCAGCGGTAAGTTTCATTCTGTTATTTTCCATGTTAGATGTTTTAATTTTTTTATATTGGGAGTTAAAAAGAAGAACAGTTATTTTCAGCCACAGTCAGCTTAACTTTTGATTACAGCAATCAGTCATTTAAAAGAATGATAATATTATGGTCAATTACTTTGCTAGGAAATATAATTTGTTTTTAATCTATTTTTTAGAACAGGTGGGAATCGCATGAATTGTAATTTAGTTTTTTTAATTGTTATTTACAAAAAGAAGACTTGAGGGTATTGGATGCTATTATTGGACACTGGATAACAATATGATTACATTTTTCAATACTTAACTTGTAAATTAATATTTGAATTCAAAATACACTTTTCATCCAAAATAATGGCAATAAGAAATTAAAATATATTTTATGTGGCTATACATATAACCTCTCTCAGTATTGGTTAATATGGCAAACAGTGGCTCTTACAGCTGTTAGTTACTTCATTATCACGGCTCTGCCCCAGCATTTTTCCAGCAGTAATAGCCAGATGCAGTAGGCTTCTCTCCATGGTGACTGGGTTCACTGGCCACGGCATGAGGCCGGGCATTTGCAGGAAAGAGGGTCATTAGAGTGTGACTTCACTCTCAGCTCATGTAAATCCTGCGTCTATTTTGGTTCAGATGGATATTTCAAGCGCCGCAACGCAATATTATTGAGGTGTGAAATGTTAAAATGAATTTCTTCTCAGAAAACATTACAAGAGAAGTCAACTCATTAAAAAATCTGAGCTCTTAACATATGCAACTGTGTAATCCTGGGAGAGTAAGGTAATAATAGCCTCAGGTCAGGTTGGCCTCTAACATCGTTCTCGCCCTCTGTTCCTGTTTATATGGGAAAGTTCTCCAGGCTCAGTGATTGGAGTTTATTGGATGTATCACACACTGCTGCTGAGTTATGTTTACATCTTGTTGAATTTATATTAAAAAGAAAATTATATTAATTATCTGATGTGATAGCAGCTCATTGTACTACTCTTACACAAAGTGTTTTTTTCCCCCCTTTTCCAACAGTCATTCTCACCAGTGCAAACATGAATAACACAAGACAGATTGATGGGAGAAGATAATATTGAGAGTACCTTCACTCTGGGGAGTTGTAGAAAATAATTCTACCCATTAAAGAAAGGAAAGATGAGACTGGTTCTGTATTATCTGATAATGTTGGGGTCCAGTTATGTGATTTCAACGTATGGGCCCCATCAGAGAGCGCAGATGACTGGTGATATTTTGCTTGGAGGTCTTTTCCCCATACACTTTGGTGTTGCATCGAAAGACCAAGACCTCGCAGCCCGGCCAGAATCCACACAGTGTGTCAGGTAAAATTTAAGACATGTGTAGGCATCCATAAATGATTCGACTGAAGGAGTGGACTAAACCCCTCTAAACTGCTTTACAACTGGTTTGCTTCTACAGGTTCAATTTCCGTGGCTTCCGTTGGCTCCAGGCAATGATTTTTGCGATTGATGAGATAAACAACAGCAGCACTCTCCTGCCCAACATCACTCTGGGCTACAGGATCTTTGACACATGCAACACGGTGTCAAAAGCCCTGGAAGCGACGCTTAGTTTTGTGGCCCAGAATAAGATTGACTCCCTAAATTTAGATGAATTCTGTAACTGCACTGATCACATCCCAGCAACCATTGCAGTAGTAGGAGCAGCTGGATCTGCAGTCTCCACAGCAGTTGCGAACCTACTGGGTCTTTTTTATATTCCTCAAGTGAGTAACATAAGCACGACATCAACACTGCACTGCAGTTGTTGCCTTAAAACTGATCAAAAGTCACATGGCAGTACTGTACTGTATGTAATGTCCACATTAATTGTCTGTGAATAATACTTCTTACAAGAAAACAAATGTCCTCCTGGATGATGTGTGTTATCAACAAAATGACCAAAGCTTAATATTGAATGAAGATAATTAACAGCAATATGCAGCGCACAATTAAAATCCGTTAGATTACCTGTAATCTTTACTGTTTCAGATCAGCTACGCCTCCTCTAGCCGCTTACTGAGCAACAAGAATCAGTACAAGTCCTTCATGAGAACCATTCCTACAGATGAGTACCAGGCCACAGCCATGGCAGACATCATTGAGTACTTCCAGTGGAACTGGGTCATTGCTGTGGCCTCAGATGACGACTATGGACGCCCGGGTATTGAAAAGTTTGAGAAGGAAATGGAAGAGCGAGACATCTGCATTCACCTAAATGAACTTATTTCTCAGTATTTTGAGGATCATGAAATCCAAGCTTTGGCTGACAGGATTGAGAACTCCACAGCTAAAGTAATTGTTGTGTTTGCCAGTGGCCCAGATGTCGAGCCTTTAATCAAAGAGATGGTCAGGAGAAACATCACAGATCGTATCTGGTTAGCCAGTGAAGCGTGGGCAAGTTCCTCCCTTATCGCTAAACCAGAGTATCTTGATGTTGTGGCAGGGACTATTGGCTTTGCTCTAAAGGCAGGGAATATACCTGGTTTTAGAGAGTTCCTACAACAAGTCCAACCAAAGAAAGACAGTCATAATGAATTTGTCAGGGAGTTTTGGGAAGAAACCTTCAACTGTTATCTTGAAGACAGCCCAAGACTACAAGAAAGTGAAAATGGCAGCACCAGTTTCAGGCCTTTGTGCACTGGTGAGGAAGACATCACAAGTGTTGAGACCCCGTACCTGGACCACACACATCTTCGTATCTCCTATAATGTGTATGTTGCAGTTTATTCCATTGCACAGGCCCTGCAGGACATACTCACCTGCACACCTGGACATGGACTTTTTGCCAACAATTCCTGTGCAGATTTAAAGAAAATGGAAGCGTGGCAGGTAAAATGTACCTCTTTTACCCAAAACCAAAGCAATTAAATACCTAATTATTTACTTGGTCAATTTGAATCATCCAAATGTGTGGTTCTGCTTTACAGGTCCTGAAGCAGCTCAGACATCTGAACTACACCAACAGTATGGGGGAAAAGATCCACTTTGATGAGAACGCAGACATGGCAGCAAACTACACAATTATAAACTGGCATAGGTCTACTGAGGATGGTTCTGTGGTGTTCAAGGAGGTCGGATACTACAATATCCACGCCAAGAAAGGAGCCAAACTGTTCATTGACAAGACAAAGATTCTGTGGAATGGATACAGTTCTGAGGTCAGTCAAACTGTTTTTAGAGGATGTGTCCAATAATGTAACGTGGGTTAGTCAGTTGGTGTATCTTTTATTCTCCTGGGATGAGCTACCTTGATTAATAAGCAGGTCATCCCAGTGAGGAAGGAAAACATTGAAACTTACTAATAAAAAGCTTAGGAGAGGATTTTGTAAATGTACATTATAACAGATTTGTGTGTTGCCCACTTGGAATGTGTTAGGGGCACAGAGACAAACACTTATAACTGTATCAGAATTTTATGTTTAATTATTTGTAGTCTTTATGTTTAAGTCCATGATTCAGTGTAAATGCACATTTTATTTTGAAAGAAATCAATCAACAAAATACAAATGAACCTTTGACTTTTTTTGATAATCTGTTTTATTAAAGAATTAGTTGTCATTCTAATGACAATATCTAAACATTTCATTTAAACAAAACCAATTGGAGTTGCAGCCACTGTCTCTGGGAATCATAGACTATTAATGTGAATTCTAATGTCAATGTAGTCAAAAATAGGGTGAGAAGTAAAATTTTCTATTACATTACATGTATCCAAGCTTCTTTTTGCTACTGGAACTGCCCCCTAGTGGCCATTAGGAAGAATGCAGGTATAAGGTTCCACTATTTATTATACAGTCTATGCTGTAAACATTTACATACTGTATTATCTCCTTATAAGATTTTATAGCAAAGTGTTTGCAAATATTTGCTTATATACACACAGAGCAGATTCAAGTTTATTGAGGAGATGAAATACATAATAAAACTTTGTAGAGCTGAGGGAAATGGGTTGGGTGATAATACACTACAAGTGACTGCTTTAACATTACTCGTAGTCATTCGACCCATTGTTCATTTAGTGAAACTTTAAGTTGCTTTTTAAAAATCAGGCTCTAGTTGTTTTACTGGGGGTCCACAGGCTCTAAAACCTCTTACAAGTCTTCTCTTTTCTTCCCTTCTCTTTCTCATGCACCTTTTCTGTCTGTTTATATCCTATAGGTGCCATTCTCTAATTGCAGTGAGGACTGTGACCCTGGTACAAGAAAGGGGATCATAGATAGTATGCCCACATGCTGCTTTGAATGCACTGAGTGCTCAGATGGAGAGTACAGTAACCATAAAGGTATTAAGATGCCAAACATTCACAATTTCTTGTCTTTGAACGTTACACCTGGCTAATGTTGTGGTTCTAACACAGATTATTTTTTGTATTTATTTAGATGCAAGCATTTGTACCAAGTGTCCAAATAATTCTTGGTCCAATGGGAACCACACATTCTGCTTCCTGAAGGAAATAGAGTTTCTCTCCTGGACAGAACCATTCGGGATAGCTTTGGCCATATGTGCAGTACTGGGTGTTGTCCTCACAGCCTTTGTGATGGGAGTCTTCGTCAGATTTCGCAACACCCCAATAGTGAAGGCCACAAACCGAGAATTGTCCTACGTCCTCCTCTTCTCACTTATCTGTTGCTTCTCCAGCTCTCTCATCTTCATCGGGGAGCCACAGGATTGGACATGCCGTTTACGCCAACCCGCCTTCGGGATCAGTTTTGTTCTCTGTATCTCCTGCATCCTTGTGAAAACTAACAGAGTACTTTTGGTATTTGAAGCTAAGATCCCTACAAGTCTCCATCGTAAATGGTGGGGTTTAAACCTGCAATTTCTGTTGGTGTTTCTGTGCACATTTGTCCAAGTCATGATATGTGTGGTCTGGCTTTACAACGCTCCTCCTTCCAGCTACAAGAATCACGACATTGATGAGATCATTTTTATCACCTGCAATGAAGGCTCTGTGATGGCTCTTGGGTTTCTTATTGGCTATACCTGCCTCCTGGCAGCTATATGTTTCTTCTTTGCATTTAAATCACGGAAACTTCCAGAAAACTTTACAGAGGCCAAGTTCATCACTTTTAGCATGCTAATATTTTTCATTGTTTGGATCTCTTTTATCCCTGCATACTTCAGTACTTATGGCAAGTTTGTTTCAGCTGTGGAGGTCATCGCTATACTGGCATCAAGCTTTGGGATGCTGGCCTGTATCTTCTTCAACAAGGTCTACATCATCCTCTTCAAACCCTTCAGGAACACCATCGAGGAAGTCCGATGCAGCACCGCAGCCCATGCTTTCAAAGTGGCTGCCAAAGCTACACTAAAACATAGCACAGCAGCAAGAAAAAAGTCCAGCAGCATTGGCGGATCTTCTGCCTCGACTCCGTCCTCATCCATCAGCCTCAAGACCAACGGCAATGACTGTGACCCGACTTCAGGAAAGCATAAGCCAAGAGTGAGCTTTGGCAGTGGAACAGTAACTCTGTCTTTGAGCTTTGAAGAGTCGAGGAGGAGTTCTCTGATGTGACAGCATATGTGTGTGTGTGTGTGTGTGTGTGTGTCAAACTTTAGGATGTATTTTGGACTTTATTTTGAAATGCATTAACACGTAAGCCTTTTCATCTTCCCATTTTCTCAACATTTTGTCAGAAAGATGATGTTTGATGAAAACAATGTCAGTGCTATACCTGAATCGTGTGACTTTGAGCATAACCCTGATGTACACTGCTAATAATAATAAAAGATTTTGTACAATCAAAAATATTACATTAGATCCTTAAGTTCTTTTAGAGATGCTGTATCTTATTTATATTAACACATGTTTTAGCTCTATATATCCAGAGTAACCTGACAATGTCTGACTGTGTAAGTATTACCCAATGTTTGGCACAAAGACCAAACTGGTAACTTGGAACAACATTTGACAACCCAGGCTCCTGGGTGAGCGAGACCGGAGAATGTATGAGTCACACTGTAAAAACACAATTACAGGATGTCGGTAAAATGTTCCATACTTGGTCATTATGTTCTATTATAGTCAATCACAAGACAACAAAAGAAACGAAAGTATAGTCCTTCAACATGGCATTGCCACCTTATTTGGGATGTGCAGTTCATTTCAAGCAAAGTTTTAAGCTGTAAAAGAAAATAGCAAATTTAATCATGAGGTCAAATGTAAACTACTTATAGACAGTAATAAATAGGATATATTAGCATCAATACTGGCATCACAGTCTCACAGACAAATAGTAAGACAATTTAGACAAATGTTCTATTACAACCATAAAAGCTAAACTGTGGAGCTTGTAAAACTGAAATTACTTTGAAGCATAATCAAATTAAATCAATTATGATACACATGAACCAACACGCCAGTGAAAATAACTCAAATTCTCTCAGGAATAAAGATCTGAATAACATAATAATAAACCCCTGATTGAAAAACAAACAAACTGTGAACATGCTGATGGAGGTCTATAGGGCCTTTTGGTCTTTCAGACAACTTTCTCTGCTTGCAGCTTGCTTATCACAAGTCTCTGACAACTGCAAACAGTGCAGGCCTATTTCACATGTTAATGTAATTTTTGCAATAAGCTTACACTACACAGTCATGTCCTCACAGTATGGGGGGGGGGGTTGGGTTGGGGGAGGGCAATGTTTATTCTATCCACACTGTCTGATTGTCGGCGCTTTAACTATTTCCTGAGTAGAAGAGACTCTTAGAACAATAATAAAATATAATATATTTATTATAACAGAATGAAAGAGGAAATTCTGAATATGTTAATTACTACAATAATACAGAATACAGGACTTTAACTTCTACTTGTTCTTACTATAAGAAAACAATTTGAGGACTTCTTCTTTCACATAATTACTAAGCAAAGGCTCCAGTAATGAGTTATAACTAAATGGTATGAATGTGACAAAAGGCTAGTCAATGTTTGAACATCTACAGCTGGACAACACCACCTTAGGAAATATTCCTCAGGAAAAATATGTAGCAAAATCCACAAGTGAGGGGGAGTAGTAGTCTTAAGCCTCAGCCTTACAGTGAAACCACAAAATACAATAGAATTACAGTAAACAAAAAGGAAACTTTATTACAATAGCAAAGAAAATATACTAATAAACAAATTAACTCAACAAAGAGTGATAAGAGGAAAAAACCCCTCTTTGTTTTACTATGAAACACTGTAGAATTTTTAGACATGCAGGACCAGAAAAACTAAAAGGAAGCTCGCAGCAGCTGAAGGAAACTGAAGGGGAAAAAATAGAAGTCAGTAAAAAGGCATATGAGGAGTGCAAGACCCCCCACATTGCTCAAAAGGAGGATGACATGCTGAGACAGTCAGTATCATGGCTGACCTGAAGCAGGCCGAGGAGCAGCTGGACAACCCCCTCCTCTGTTAGCAGGAGGAAAAGACCTTTATCTAGACCACTATGTTGTGTCTCATCTGCAGTGATGGGGTGAGACAGATATTGGACAGAATTAACAGGAACCGTGGTGGTAATGTTTGTCACAGCTGAGAAACACACATTACACATTTCCCCCCCCCACAACTCAATTTAAATTCCTCTAACTCCATCACCCCTTTAACTGAATAATGAACATAGATGGTTAATGAGAAATTAAAGTAGATTAATATAATAGACAGACAACAGACAGATGCATCTCCAAAAATAAGGAAAGTATTATAAGGAAAGTTAGTTAATACTACAGTCCCCATTCGACGGCCTTTATGTATGAAGCCACACACCGAAACTACTATGAGCCAGTGCGTTGAGCTTCATCAAGCCCACCCATAAAGGACAGGAACAACGACTTCCTGTTTGTTGGTGTTGATGCTGCCTTCAAAACAAAGCGATTTATGGGGTGCTGTGTGTAAATCTCAAGGGATCAAAAGAATAATTAAGTAGGTAGACAGACACCCTAAGGTATCTGCACATTTGTAAGAATCTTTTGCAGACTATTTTAAAGACTAAACATATATATTACCCATCATGGCTGTCAGCTCTAATAAATCACTTGGCACAATATCCTTCACACCCGACCTCTTTTACATCACCTGATATCTTATAAACAGATACTGATGGGAAGAAATAGTTTTGACTGAGAAACTTCTCTGTCTGTTTCTCTCTATGAATGTTCCCAAACTCGTCCCGCTGTTCATTGCGAAAGCTTTTATTGTGAAATCCCGCAGCAGCAGTGCTGTGTGTGTTGACGCACTGATGTCGTCTGCTGCTGTGTTGATCATGGATGTGATCAAGGCTTGATACGTTAGCTGAAAGGTAAGATGCGCCAACTATAATGTCTATATTTTAGAACAGGGTTAGTGTTGTATTTAACTGTATTAAGGTCGTACGGTGTTTGGGCTCCACTGTGTGCGGACTGGGGACTGTAATATTGAACTTTTACGGCACTTTGACGTTAACTCTACAGCGCTGCATCCACATTCCTCCCAAGTATTCGTCGGCTAGCTAACAGAATTCATCCGAGCACATCAGTACAGCCACTTCGCCCCAGCGCACTGGAGCTTTACAGTTTTTAAAACGTGGGCAGTAAATCAGGAGACGAATGAGCAGAATGATGCAGAGAACAAAAGGTGAAACGCTAGTGTCCTGCATTATTATTATTACGCGAAAAACGGTGGATGTGATGGTGATGCTCCGAGTTAGCCGAGATTAGCACGTCTCCCCAAAATTAACGTCAACACACGGTGACGTTGTGATGAAAAATAAAATAGCTAAAAAATGTCAAAGCTTTGCTCTTTAACTACGTTATCCCGCTAGAGACAACAGCCAACACCTGACAATGAGCACTAAAATAGATATTTAATATGTAACTTAAGTTAATTATCGTTACTAGCTTGTGTGTTTGCTTGACGCTCGTTCGTAAGTTTTATAGCTAACGTTCGTATACAAACCGTTGTAACCATGGTTGTAACCATGGTTGTAACGGCCCACAACAACGTCTGCCTGCGGGGTCGTTAGTGTTAACCGTTACACGACAGTAACGGTTAACTTCAGTTTTGTACTATTTGTTTTTAAGGTCGCCGCTGATTGAACCGTTATATGTTGTATTTGTTATAGTAAGTTAAGAAAACTAATGGTCATTGCAACTGACTGTCTTGGTTTTAAACATATGTATAAGTAATAGTATTTTTTTTTTTACTATACTGACATACTGAGATTGATCAATAATAAAAATAATCAATAGATATTTAATAAATTCATAGTACAAGTGAGGAGAAAGGTGAGGCAAACAGCAGTGCAACGTGTTACTGAAGGGCACAGATAGAGGCAGGTGGTGTACAGTTACCATTGAGGAAGCTCTTTCAGTCAGCCTGTAATAGAAGAAATGGCTCTGAACACAAAAGTGAACAAAAGGAAATGAGGCTCTTGAGCTAAAGACACTTAATCTTGGTTTGTTTTCAAAGATAACATCTCATCAGGTGTTTTTTCAGTCCTGCAATACAAAGTAATGGAGCCATGTCTGTGAAACTAGAACCTAGGGTATAGTTGGACAGGAGGAGACCTGGTGGTAAAGGGGTGATTGTGATGCCAATGTTCCTATTCTTGGTACTATAACATCTTTTTGTCTCTAATTTACAGTTGTCGGAGAGCTCGCCTGCTGAAACTGGAGTTCGACAGTTCAGCGATGGATTTTCCCCAATAGGTCTTCCTCACTTCAGAGGCATCATATCGTTGATTTACTGGATCATTCAGCAGCATGTTTCATTGCAATGGGATGACTGGTTAGTCAGTGTTTTTGGTGAAATGTCCTGCGTGGAGAAAATATCTTAATCTAGAGCTAAAAGCATCCACAGTTGCCACTTTCACTGTATCACATCAGTGCAGTCACAAAGCCATGGGCTTCTGTTCGCCTGTATGCAAGATTTTGCGGAGGGGAAAGTATTTTGTACTGCTGCTCATCTCGCTGTCAGTGCTGGCATGGATCACAATTTTTTCAGGCGAGACAGTGAAGTCCGATCAGGTTTCCTCCGGCACGACACAAACTCTAGTCCAAGGTGACAGCGCGAGGGATACGCTCAGCGTTCGAACGGTGGCACCCGGTCGCGTCAGTACTACACCACCGAAAGTCGAATGCCCTGAGGAGTCACCGTTGCTACGTAAGTATACACTGGTGCGGGTTAAAGAGGTGATCGATAGTCATCCTCCCGGGAGTAAATGACATGTGTCTGCTTAGGGTTGCTTACTCAGGCTAAATAGGAATAGATCAGATGTGTTTATACTCTGTTTTATGTCTCTTTCTGTACGTTTTCCACCTTTTTTTCCACTGACTATTTGATAATGTAGATGAGTTAACTGCTATGTAATAAACCA